CCTGCCTCTTATCCTCATACAGGGCCTCCGGATATCCCGTGGTGCTGCTTCTTCTTCCACTCTCACTTGCGCTGACCCAACATCGGGCGGATGATGTCGTACACCCACGCGTCCTTGGCGGCGTTCCTGTAGCCCGACGACTTGCTGGCTCTTCCGGCCTCCTTCGCGGGCAGCCCGAAGAGGCTGACGGGGCGGTAGTGGTACCACTTCTTGCGCGCCATGAGGTTCGCCACGTCGCGGGTGTGGGTGACGAGGCGCGCGCGCGTCTCGCGGAAGCCGGCGTCCGCGGGGACGGGGCGGAGGTCGGCCGCGCTGACGAGGGTGGCGCGCGGGCGGCCGGCGAGGCCCAGCGTGCCGACCTCGAGCTGGGCGGTGGCCGGCAGGGCGCGGACGTAGCGCTCGAGGAGGGCGCGGGAGGACCGGGCGGCCGGGGGCAGGCGAAGGAAGACGTGGGTGACGAAGGGGGCGGAGAAGTAGGCTACGTAGGCGAAGGGGATGAGGGCGCAGGTGGCTGGGCAAAGGTGTTAGTTTGGATGCTTTCTTGTATGAGTGAGTCTGACAGTTTGCTGGTATGCAGGGGCTTGAGATAGGAGTAGGTACGATAAGAGAGAGAAAGCCGATGTGATGGGCGGGAGGGGGAGAGGGGGAGACTTGCATGCCGCGGTGATCTGAGCTACGGACACGTCGTCGCTGCGCAGCATAGCGGGCTCCCAGACGAGAGCGAAGACGGCGGCCACGAAGATGGTGGTGATCTTGAGGCCGGCCACGAATCCTATCCTGCCCGTGCCGGCCTGGTAGACGAGCAGCCTCTCGGGAAGAAGTTGTGCTACGAGTGCCTCGTGTTAGCTTTCCGTGCGCGGTGTGCGGGCGCTTATGACGACTCACGGGTAGATCCGGGGCTGGTAGCCGCCGGTTTTGAAGCGGTAGGAGTGGTCGCGGCGGTCCCGGACCCGTGGCTTCTGGGCGGCGGCGCGGAGGAGGCGAAGGGCCGCCTTAGACTACTCGGCGGCAGAGATTTTCGGAGGAGCTGCGGGCGGAGCGGACATGGCCGCAGGGCGGGGAGGAAGTGAGTCGCCGACGCGGGCGACCGTGTGAGAGTGAGTCTGAGGAGAGACATGGTGAGGGTGCCTCTGAGGGTTGGGTGAAGGAAGGTAGGGATGGAGGAGTTGTGAGATGAGGTTGAAGATTGGATGAGGTGAGCTACGTTGGATGAGGTCACTGCGCCCTGGCATTGGACTTTTTTTTCCTTCTGAGGGAAAAAAGGGAAAACGCGACGCGCGACTTGGTTATCCGGTGCCATGGTCCGAACTGCACTATGTTTCACAATCACCCATTTCCCAGTAAATTCAGTAATTTTCGATGATTTAGTTGTATTTCTTTCGTAATGTGATTCATTAAAAGTTGCTGGTGGTTCATTCGAGTTGAGCATCTCATGGGGCTCTCTCTCCGTCGCAAGCTTGAGCAATGACCACCGGCATCCATAGCTCACGGCATAGCTCACAGTCGAAGCTCCCTAGGCGAAGCACGTCTACCTTCAAGTCAGACAATGTTCTTCTGCAGCCACTCCTTCCACTGGTCCAGAGTCCAGCTCGAGCTGATCTCGTTGTTGGGGTATCCGTCGAACAGCACCGTCGGGCTGACGTGCACGCCCGTCAACCGCGCCAGCTTGATGAGCACCTTGAAGTCGTTGGTCACGCCGTTGCCGCTGTTGAGCGAGCCGTCTTCCGCGGGCTTGTCCGAGATGGCCAGCAGGTCGTACACCTTCTTCTCGTCGACGCCCACGGAGGCCGCCAGCTTCGCGAGGCGCTTGTACGTCTCGTTGCGCGTCTCGTTGACGACGTTGACGTCGAAGTAGTCCTTCTGCGCCTTGAACAGGGCGTCGCTGTAGGCCCAGAACTTGGCCGGGTCGACCTTGACCACGGCGACGGCGGACTCGTGCACGAGCGTGCTCGAGGGGTGCCAGGGCTGCACCTGCTGGCGGAAGACGACCTCGAGGTTGGAGGCCCAGGCCGGGTTGGCGCGGATGGCGGGCACGACTTGGTTGTAGAAGGTGGCGAACTGCTTGGCCGAGAAGGGGCAAACGTAGTCGAGGTAGAGCTCGATGGTGTGCGGCTGCGCGGCGACGCCCTCCGCGGCGGGTTTGGCGGGGGAGAAGGCCAGCTTGTGGGCGGCGAACTTTGGTGGGACGGCCATCTTGGGGGACGATGTGGTGAAGTGACGGTGTGTTTTTGATGCTGCGCTTCGAGTGAGTGGTGATTTGGTGGAATGGATTCTAATGACGGCTGCTGGGCGCCGGCTTAGGTTTAATATGACGTGCGAAGGGAGCTTCATGAAGCTTCTGAGCAGCGGGAAGCTGTGTTCAAATCAGAGGGTGATGACGCCTGATAAAGGGCCCAATTGGAGCTGGCGGGGGCGGGGTAGCTTCTACAGGCAGTGATACGGCGGAGGGAGCTTTGTTCTGGCAATTTGCGAATCATGATGCAATCCGATCACGACAGACTGCTTACTGAGCAGCTTTGACGACCATATCACGCAATTGGCCAGACTTGATGGCCTGCCTCGGTCGTGCAAGGCCTTCACGGAATGATACAACAAAAATTTGGAATTATAGACGGCTCCCGAGGTCTGGAGCCATGGGTCGGGGCATCTTGAGGTCCGACTTTGAGATACGGCCCGACGCCGATCCCCGGGCCTGCCGGATGGTCATTTCCTAAACTAGCGCCCTTGTCGCTTTAACGGATGGCATGAGAGAGACCAGGAGTTATCATCTCAGAAGACATTGAGCCTTGCTTTTGACGCCGAGCCCCTAGAGCCGTTGGCTCAGAGGCCGGCTTGAAGCCGCACTGTCTCATCACTGATGAGCTTCTCTTCACGCTCGCCTCGCTGCATACATCCTCGGTGAACCAGCGGATCATCGGTCAAGGCGACCTACTGCATCATTTACCAAGCGCATACGCCTGAACCTCGCGTGTTGCGCAGTGCTAATTGCTAATGTGTCACCCGCTTGAATTATGAAGGAAGAAGAAAAGTCAGCGTGGTCTCAGGGATCTCAAGTTCATTAAATATGTTGCCTCTGGCTCTCAAGGTTATGCCAACCGATAAGGTTGTGGTGTTTCTGTGAGAACCCGGAGGACACGACCTTGATGTCATGCCAATGTGCTAATTCTGAAAATTTCACGACGAAGTAAACGAATTTACAAGCAAGTCGTTGATTTCATCCTTTCTTGTCATTTCGCCCAACTTATAGCAGCGACTGGGGACCGGTGCACTATCCCATCGGCCCGCCTGTGTCCACTGAAAATGTTACCCCTTTGGGCAACTCGGCTGCGGTTTCAACTCTCCGTCTTCACGTCTTCACCCATTCGGTCACCGACTAGTGATAAATTGCTCATGATTATTTTGTTCAGGTTTATGATTACAAACTACAACACTCATGACACCGTGTTCTTGGCCACAATGCCGCGCGCAAACTCGCCAAAGTTGATGTGCTGCTCCATGTCAACCACCTCGCCTAGGTTAGGCTGAGTGAAGACCGCCAGCGTGTTGCGCGCAACACGACCATCGCTGACGGACGCCTTGACGCCCCTCACAAAATGCGGCACCGCCTTGAACTTGCCACCAGTAATGCGCTCTAGGGTCTCGCCCGTCTGGAAGGCAATGCCATCCCGCGGGATCTTGACCTGCACCGTCTCCCCGCTGCGGGAGCGGATGTATAGGCCGGCGGTCGGATCGGGCGACGCTGGCAGCTCCGCCAATGGCGGCAAGCTGGCTGACGTGCTGTTGCTGACTTCCGGCACCGCTGGCGAGGTCTCCTTCTCGTCGATGAACATGGCGGATGTCAAGCCCGTGAGACAGCCGTGATCCAGGTGCTCGGCGCACCAGGAATCATCGTTGGCACCAATCTTGTCCAGGTCTGCCTGAGTCTGCGGGTAGTAGTGCAGCAGGCGTGCCTTGGTAGTAGTAGAAGTGCTGACGACGTGCTCCAGGTATCCCTTCGGATAGCCCTGGATCTCCGTCTCGGCGAACCTGTCGCAGGCCCGCGCGACAAGGACGGCCGTGTCAATGATGACTTTGCACAAACTCTCGAGACTCGGCTTGAACCCTGGAAGAACGTCCTGGGATGGCCAGACGTTGGGTGAGAGGTACTCGGGGAAGTTGTCTTCGTTGAACTCCGTCGTGGGCTTGGCACAGTTGAGAGTGGCGTCGACGTAGAATGCGCAGTTCGCGTAGTACGAGCCCTTGAAGGTGTCTACCTGGCCGTCCTTGAGAGTTTCCTTGCCGAGTGACCAGCCCGTCAGATATTTGGCCTTGACATTCTCAATTTTGGCTACATGAGTGTAAGCGATGTGTACAGCCAATGTGGGGTCCCACCGTCGTACCCAACTCTTGCTCGGGCAAGTTGCCAAGGTAAGAGGCATAAGACAACGTTTGATGCCTCAAGTGTGCAAACTCGGTTGGCACATCCTTGACGACCAAAATACCCAAGGAATCGGGGCCGAAAGCTTTCTGTAGAGTCTCAAAGGGGATGTTACCTAGAACAAGATCATCACATGTAAGTGGCGGTTGTTACGCTGAATAGCGAGAGACTCACCCTCCTTGAGGTCGTTCAGCGAGACAGTGACCGGTTGCGCGATGGAAGACATCTTGACCCTCTGGAGTGCAAAACTGGAAGAATTTCTCAACGACGAATGATTTTCACAGAAAAGTAATCAGATCGTGGCTGCATCTACCTACAGCGGACCCTGTGACCTTCTGGGGAGTGTGATCTGATGTGGGGGAGGGGCAGCTGGTTGGCCTTACGTAATCCAAACCTTCCATACCTTAACGCCAGTGCGCTGAAGCTCCTATCGCCAGTTTATATCTTGAAGGTTGCAACCAACACCAGGTCGGAAACCGCCGGACACCGGCTACAACCGCGACAATCTCACATTCACCTTCCCTATCGAGACCTCAATCGACTCACGAGAACGCGACGGAAACGAAAAGGGACGAGGGAGGCAATGGTTAAGCCCCTATCCTTCAAGGGCGAGAAGAAGCCCAAGAAGAGAAAGCGGACCGAGGCGGAGGCCCACGACCGAGATGCGCCTGCCGGGGACGTCGTCCGCGCCGGCGCCGCCTCCGCTGCTGCACCGGAGGATGACGCCGATAACGACGACAGCTGGGTGTCTGCCGACGCGGTGACGGATGTCGTTGGACCCATCATGTTCGTGTTGCCTACGGACCCGCCTGCCGCGTTGGCGAGCGATGCCAACGGCAAGGTCTTCACGCTGGGTATCGAGAACATTGTCGACGGGAATCCCACGAGCGCGGAGCCGCACGACGTGCGGCAGGTGTGGGTTGCGAATAGAATTGCGGGAACGGAGCAGTTCAGGTTCAAAGGACACCACGGACAGTAAGCGCGCCGCTTGCGACCCCGAAGCTGTCGACGGGCGTAGCTAACGGATGATATAGGTATCTTGGATGCGACAAGAACGGCGTGTTGTCTGCGACGTCGGCGGCCGTATCGCCGCTCGAATCGTTCAACATCATCGCTACAGCCGATACCCCGGGCACATTTCAGATTCAGACGTTGCGGGATACGTTCCTGTCCGTCAAGCCGCCCAAGCCTAACGTTACGACATCAGACGTACGGGGCGACGAAGAAACCACGACCTTCAACACCACATGGCGCATCAGGATGCAGGCGAGGTTCAAGCCGCGCATCAAGGCGAGCAAGGAGGAAAAGGCCAAGGAAAAGATCAGTCGAAAGGAGCTGGAGGAAGCCGTCGGGCGCAGGCTCGAGGACGACGAAGTCAGAAAGCTGAAGAGGGCCAGGAGGGAGGGTGATTATCATGAACAGCTTCTGAAATTGAAGGTCAAGGGGAAGCACGACAAGTATGGCTGATCCCGAGTGGCCGCTTGCGAGGTCGATGAACGGAAGCATGATACCCAGATGAAAAAGCACATCATTCTTTTTTCCACAGAGTTTCTTTTTTTTCGATTCTTCTACTCTACCCCTAGCTGGGTCTCCAGGCCTTGATGTTGCCGTCCTCCCCGGCAGTGAAGACGACTTGCTCGTCGTCGTAGAAGCAGAAGGACCGAACGATCTCATCGCCATGACCGCCAGGCAAACCGACACTATTTGCCTTGTCAAAACCCCAGCTGCCCTCGTTCGTCCGTGAAAGGTGAACCAACTCGAATACCTGACGTCTGTGCAACCGTGTTAGCTACGAACTCCCACTCTCGGGCAAATAAAGATACTTACTCCAAAGCGCCAACTCCGACGATAGCGCCGCTTCCATCAACCTTGGTGGTGACGTTGGCGATATACTGGCATCCCAAAGTCTCCCTGGCATCGCCAAAGTCGGCGACGGCGGCACCGGTTTGGCACTCGTCGGCGACACTGTAGACGGCAAACTTCTCATCATGGGTCAAAACGTAGATCTCTGTGTCGCTGATGAATGAGGCGTGATGAACGGAGCCTTGGTTGAGCGCCTGGATGACAACGTCGTCCTCGTCGGAGATACGCGTGTCATAGACGTTGACGAGGCCATCGGTCGAGCCAGACAGGAGGACGTGAGGCTGCGAAGGGTGGAAGCGAAGCTCAGTCACGTCATCGCTGTGGACTTCATCGTATTGTAGCCTTTGGGTTGGACCAGCTCTGATATCCCTGCTGGAGTGTCAAGGGGTGGGCTCTGAGAAGGACTTTTGCCGAGGGTTCTTACCAGAGCAGAACTGAGGCAGTGTGGTTCTGAAGTTCCGTCCCGATTGCTATCGTGTTGGTTCTTGAGTCACAGGCAAGGGAGGTGATGGGTGACTGGGTTGCTGCAACTGCGTGTAAGTCGACGTGGTTCATCAGCCACCCCCCCGGCTTCGGCGGGTCAACATACCTGCAAAGTGGGCTACTTGCGGTTTTGAGCTCTGCCTCAAGTCCCAGATTGAAACCTCCCCATTCTCTCCTGCCGTGCAGACGATAGATTCCAGAGCATCGTATGTCTTTAGGCATGTGAGGTTGCCGTGGCTAGTGGCCAACGACCTGATTGGCCCCTGGCCTACGCGGGCAGGGTTGAAAAGGGTAAGTTTTTGGTCGGAAGAGATGGCAGCTAATCCAGTGTTGAGGCGATGAAGATCAAGGACGTAGACATCCCCTTCACCACCGAAGTGGTGGCCGTCGACACAGGTGAGGTTGTACATGTTCCTTGTGTTGACTAGACTTGAGTGAGCATGGGTCTGGGACGGTGGAGAGAAAAAAAAGGTAGTCAGCGAGTTGAATTCTCACCAGACAAGGTTCCTGATCAACTTCAGAACAACAGGAGAAGTCTCCCAAGGAAAACAGATGAAGCCAAATCTAGAACCCAAAAAACCGTGGTATGGCGAGGGAAATGCTTGAATAAGCACAAGTTCAAGCGCGGTTCATCTGAGGTTCTCACCTGTCAGTTGGTGAATTTGATAGTGAGCTGAGGGGCTCTTTGGTGCAAAGCCCCACCATATGCAACCCTTGTGCCAAACCCTCATAGAGCGATATGCCGATACGTACACCTTGTTCTTCAGTTAGTACTTGTACCTGTCACTAAGCTAGCGTGTCCAATCACGTCAGGAGGAGCGAGCGACCCCCGGTCTCCCAGAGCTCTCAATTCATCTACGTGGACCTTAGAGCCAGGACAGCTGTTCCCATCACTGCTGTTAGCACCGCCAACCGAAACTTACGTCCGTCGATTGCTACAGGTCATTTGCTGCGGGATAACATGTCGCGCACCTTTGCGACCGACCTTTGCACATAATACTCGCAGCATGAAGAGCTCTTTCCTCTGGCTTGTCCGTAAGTGCTCCCTGCTGGCGCAATGTCGGGATGTAGATGCGGGAGCTGACATATTACGCTACAGTGCTGTTGCAGGCGGCCGCGGTGTTCTGTTCCGATGCGCAACAAAAAGTGATCAATACCGAGAACGACGAAGCCGAAAAGGAGAGACATGCAAAGATCCAGACGGACGTTGTTCCCGAGCAAGATGCACCACCCCCAAGACAGCCAGGTACGAACCGTCGCGATGGTGGGGGGAGATCGGACAGATCATGACTGACGCTGAGCAGGGGCCGACTTGGTCGATTTGGCCATCCAGCAGCTCGAGAAGCTCCCATCACGACACTACCCGAGACGCGAACGCCGATACACCCTCGTATGGACTACGTTCAAATACGCACTCAAGGTCTTCCCGAGCCTCGAAGCAGCTGGCGTGCCGGGAAGCAACCAAGCACGCGAAACGAAGGTCAGCGGGCCGCTTCTGGAGGCTGTCAAGCTTCTGGAGCAGTCCGCTCTTCAAAACAACACAGATGCGCTGTATCTCCTCGCCGACATGAATTTCTACGGAAACTGGACTCACCCGAGAGATCTGAGGGTTGCCTTCGGCCACTACCAGACCCTCGCCACGCTTCACGGAAACCGCACTGCCCAGTATATGATTGGCCTCTACTACGCAACAGGAATCGGCAACGTCGTAGTTCCCGATCAAGCTAAGGCACTGCTCTACTACACCTTTGCAGCAATTCAGGGAGACACCCGCGCGGAGATGGCTGTAGGCTACCGGCACCACAGCGGCGTTGCCACGCCGAAGAACTGTGAGATCGCAAGCAAGTACTACAAGAAGGTTGCCGACGAAGCCATGGTATGGTATCGATCGGGTCCTCCGGGCGGCATGGCCTGGGTTGTTGAGTCGTACCGCATTGCAGACGAGCTTGGTGGAGTGTATGGCGAGGGTGCCAGTGCCTCGAGTGCCGGCATGAACGCTATCAAGGTCAGCCCCAACTCAGACGCCAACGCCGCCATTGACGACGTTATCGAATACCTCGACCTCATGTCCCAGAAGGGCGATGCGAAAGCGTCTTACAACTTGGGGCGTATTTACTACGATGGCCAGAGAGGGCTCGACAGAGATCTCGACCTAGCTCGCAAGTACTTCTTCACCGTCGCTAAAAGATACTGGAGAAAGGACGGACGTATCATCGAAAACCATAAGCAGGGAATCGAAAAGACAGCAAGCAAGGCCGCCGGCTTCATCGGTCGTATGTACCTGAGAGGCGACGGAGTCGATCAGAGCTTCGACCAAGCAAAGAGATGGTTCGAGCGTGGCATCTCCCATGGAGACGCCCAGTCGCAGCATGGCCTTGGTCTGATGAACCTGCATGGATACGGAACGCCGAAAAACATTGCTATGGCTACTGACCTCTTCAAGGCTGCGGCAGACCAGGATTACGCACCTTCGCAAATTGAGTTGGGCGTTCTTTACCTTGACCAGGGCGGACCGGAAGACGTCCGAATTGCCAACAACTATTTCGAGTTGGCAGCCAGGTACGGTCAGATTGAGGCACACTACTATCTCGCAGAGATGGTGTACCACGGAGTCGGCCGAGACAAGACTTGCTCCATGGCTTTGGGATACTACAAGAATGTCGCCGAGAAGGCCGAGCCGTTGGTGTCCTCTTGGGCAGAAGCAAACCAGGCCTACTACTACGGCGACGTTGAGCTTGCGTTCTTGGAGTATGTCATGGCAGCTGAACAAGGCTACGAGAGAGCCCAGAATAACGTCGCCTTCATCCTCGATCCGCTCAAGTCAAGCTTGCAGCTGTCCGACAATCTGCCACTGCCTAAGGGGCTTGGCGTCAACAACAACCGCCCAGAGTTGTTGAACAACCCCACGCTTGCCCTGATGTACTGGACTAGATCCTCACGACAGGCCAATGTGGACTCCCAAGTAAAGATGGGAGACTACTACTTTTACGGCATCGGTGCCGAGCACGACGTCAACAAGGCTGTTCAGTGCTACACTGGTGCTTCGGACTATTCCCAGAGCGCGCAGGCCCTTTGGAACCTGGGCTGGATGCACGAGAACGGCATTGGCTTGACGCAGGACTTTCACCTAGCCAAGAGATACTATGATCAAGCCCTCGAGGTAAACGAGGAGGCGTATCTCCCAGTTACCCTGAGTCTGCTCAAACTGCGCATCAGGAGCGCGTGGAACACCTTCACTCACGGGCCTATTCACTCTATCCAAGACGATCCCAGTAAGAAGCCTTCCATTACTCACTCATGCGTTCAAGCAAACTGACTTCAATACAGAACCAAAGAAGGATTGGTCCCTTGGCGAGTGGATCGCCAACTTTCTCCAAGACGACCAGTTCTACGATGACCCATATTATGAGGACATTTTTGACGATACGATCGGAGGAGGCCCCGAAGGCGGCCCTCTTGAAGACGACGGTATCGCGGAGAGCCTCATCATCGTGTTCCTAGCACTGTCGCTTGTCCTGCTGCTGTACTATCGCCAACAGCGTCAGCAGCAACACCGACGGGAAGAGGAAGCCAGACGACGTCAAGAACAGCAGAACCAGCAGGGCCAACCGGCACCTGCGCCCGCTCCGGCAGCGCAACAGGATCAAGGCCTCTTTCCGCAGCCGGGGAACCCGGAATGGAACAACTGGGTCGCGGGAGGCATTGGTCACTGAGCTGACATGTATGATACGAAAGCACACAATGATGCGCGGCAAGACAAGCGAGATAGAGAGGTTCGAGGAGGACCGTAAAGCGAGATGTGTGAAGGCTCAGCAGAGGAAAGAAGCATTTTCAGCGCCGGCGTTTTGGGAATGTCCTAGGAATGGAAACCTAGGTTTTTGTATGAAAAAGAAATAACCACTATGAGCAAAACTGTCGCTTCGTCCGACTAGGGATTCGCCTGTGCCATCGTCGATGTCGGGTTGCCATGTACTTGACCCTGATCATCCTAGACGCGGCAGCAATACAAGCGTTTCCGTGCAAGATCACTGGACGGTGTCGGTGAACGCCGCGATAGTGTTCTGAGTCTGCAACTTCTCGTTCTGCAAACCATGACAGACTACGAGCCGGAGCTCGATCGA